CTCTCTCTCTCTCTCTCTCTCTCTCTCTCTCTCTCTCTCTCTCTCTCATTGTGTGTAGCTCTTCTAGTGAGCTGGCAACCGAGCTTTTCAGGAAGTACAAAACTAAAAGGTTGCAGCAAGTGACTAAGGCAGTACAAGCTTTGCTCATGGTCAACCAGCAAAACCAGGGCAGAGGTAAAGCCAGAATCCAGTCTCCTGCCTTCCAGGTTTCTATTTTTGGTGACCCAGATGCCAGAGTCAATGGACAAGCTAGATCTTTCTGCTCAGATTTCAGGGTCATTCTAAGCTTATTTGGTCACCATGTTATTTGGGTTTTATGACAATGGGCTAATACAACTTTACAACAGAATTCCATGTGGCAAAATAGTAAAAACAGAAAATTATTTTCTGGGGTCAGAGAGAAAGTTCAAGAATTCAATATTGATGTCATTTGAAAGGGTCTGAATGACTGTTACCTCTTGTGTTCCTTGTCAAGATTTAGACAGTCATCTCAGTTAAACTTCACAGTAATACAGTAAGGTAAACATCTCAATTCCAGTTTCATCACACATGTGAAAAACACACTCAGAGTATAATGTGCTAGTGTGCATGGCACGGGGTTATTATGTAGATGAGGTTGGGATTTGAAACTAGCTCTGTCACAATTCAAGGCCAACACACCTTCCCAACACATAAACTATGGGAAAATGTCCATGAATAAAGACTATGTAAATTGCACATAATATCTAAGTCTTCCTTGAAACTGCTGCAGCTTCGTTTTGGAGGTGGGAACTCTTGACTCGTCCACTTCAGGTTATTTTACGAAACTAAAAGCAATCCTGCTGGAAGACACTGAGTCGTCTACTTCTGTTCAGTAGTCACTCTACTCAAAGTTAAATTTAAACTGCTTTTAGTTCTCTATGAGAAACAGCCATCTACCTAACGATTCTGTTGGACTATGGATTAATGGTTTGCTTTTGTTTAAGTCCTGACTCGTGCTAATTATATCCTTGGATGCCTGACTCAAGAGGGAGTTGGGAACAGGAAGTCTGAGCTTGGTGACAGACAGCAGGGAGGACTGGCTGGAGAGAGCAGAACAGAACCCGTTCCAGACCCTCCAGGATTCTCTGTGGGTCTCACTCTTAGTGTCTCCCAAGCTCCCAGGTAATGCTCACACACTGCTGAGCCCACTCTTGAGAAGAACCATTCAGCAGACCTAGAAATGTAAGTCAAATAATCCCTTTCTTCCCCAAAGTTTCTTTTGGTTACGTTTGTCTCAGCAACAGAAAGGAAATTAGAAAAAGTTCTATTTGTTCTTCATCTCAAATGTTCACAATTATTAATTAAAAAATATTAAAGGTCAGAAGGAGGTAAGTTCTTTCTCTGACTCAATTCCTGTCCTTAGGCTACTGCTCTGCCCTTCTGGGTATGGATTCTATGGATGCTCAAAAATAAGCAATAAGATTTCTCTATACAATATCTGATTCACCCTCATTCCAGGTTGGCTGTCCTTACTGTAAACTCACAGCATAGATGAGCTGGAAGTTAAGGCAGGAGATGCTCACCCTAGACAAGAAGACTTGGTTCTCTCAGCTGAGGTATAACTACAGCACTTGGTCTGTGCTGTCTCTACATGGTAACTCTCCGGGCTTCCTTGAAGGTGTGAGAGCAATGGTCTGGCACCCGATGGAATTTTGCAGAGGGAGATAGATGTTCCACAGGGGATATAATCAGCCCTATTAGGTTCATAAAGCCAGAGGCAGAATAGAAATGTTATAATGAAATTTGGCCTGGAAGATAGCATGGTCAGGATACGATGCTTAAACCTGAACCCCGTTCCAAGAACCCATGGTTTCTATTTCTTAAAGCCTGATGTGGTAGTGGTAGCACCTGCTTGTAATCTTAGGACAGGGGAAGAAGAGACAAGTGAATTGCTAGACCTGGCTGGCTGGTTAGCCTAGCCTACTTGGAATGTTCCAGAAAGACAAAGAGAAGAAATAACAGCATCGGTAGCTAAGATGTGCGCAGTGCTTGTCACTCAGGCAGGACGGAAGGACACCATTCTATATGTGTGCTCTTATCTGAACATGTCAGATGCTCTAAGAGACACCAGTGTAAATCTCAAAGATGACATGACTCAGGTCAGAAGACACCAACACACCTGAGCAGGATTCCTGCCCATCCACTGTAGTGGCTCTGCTGGTCCTGCTGTAGGACAGGGCTGTGAAAGTGAGGCAGGAAGCAAGCTGAAGTGAGGTGGACAATGTGCTAAGTGAGGGAGGAAGTGTCTCTGAGGGAAAGCATGGGCTCTGGTGGGTGAGCTAGGCTCCAGAGAGGGCAAGAGATGGAGCTCCCAGGAACGAGGAAACCTCCACAGAGACAGTGAGAGTCTTGCTGTGAGGGCAGCATTTGGCTTCAATTCTTCTGCAGTAGGAACTGATCACATAGCCGTCTCTCTGGGATATTCTGTAGAAGGGCTACAGATGTAGGTTCAAACTGCAGCAATCTACTTGATAAGCTAATTTTGTCTCTGACCCAACAATTACTGTTAAACAATACCCTGCACACTTGGAAACGGAGCTATAATGAAAAGTGACCCAGACAGAAGAGCCATGTCCTCACCTCACAAAACATGGGCAACTTTTTGGCAAAATCCACCACTCTGGTGATTGCTGGTGTGATGATTTTTGTAAAATGGCTGAAGGCTTCCAGGTCAACCTTGCCACCTTCTGGGGCGTTCACAATGGGTGCTTGTCCAATGTCTTCCGGCTGAGGAGGAGAAGTGAGAACAATTTCAGCAAAGCTGAAGAAACCTGGGTCTACCACAGCACTCATATGGCAGGATGGCAGGGAGAGAGCATTGCTACTTCTGGTTGCCCTTGTGTGTTGACAAAGTGGATAACTTTCACATCAATTATGTCTTTGAACAAATGTGTATGCTTTGGCCATTGCTTTAATATCCCCCCCGCCCCCACCACGGGATTGTTGATGGAAAAAAGTGGGAGAGAGAGAAAGAGAGAGAGAGAGAGAGAGAGAGAGAGAGAGAGAGAGAGAGAGAGAGAGAGAGAGAGAGGGAGGGAGGGAGGGAGGGAGGGAGGGAGAGAGAGAGAGAGATGGGAAGAAGAGGTGGAGGAGGAAGAAAAAGAGATAGGTATATGGGCTGTTTTGCTGGCACAGGGGTCATACTTAGGCCTGTGGTAAGAATTCTAGGTCGCTGGTGGGCACATTCAGAGCACTGTGTGTTGTGTCTGAGTGAGGTGCATGTTGGGAAAGTGTGTGATGCATGAACAATAATGGAGGCATACAGCTGGTGAGCCCTAACAAGTCCTAGGGGTTCACGTTCTTGATTCTAACTGGACTCCAGTTTGAGGGGTTCTCAGCTGAGCACTGAGGGTAACAATCTCTCAGATCACTGCAGGGAACTGAGTTGTACAAACAGGGCAAACCTTAGGGCAGGTAGGACATCTGTTTATCTTGTATGTCCCCAGAGTTCTTTGCTGTTTACCTGCTCAAAGACAATCCACGACTGCACTGCGCAGAGTAGACAGTGAAATGGTTATCACTTGGGGGATGTTCTCAGGCCCTCTCTGGACATGATTGTTCAGAATCACGGTTTCAGCCCTACCCCAGGTGACTTGTGTGTGATAGACTTTCCACATCTACAAGCCGCCTGTCCTCAGTGAGCATTCTGTCACCTCCACCAGGATATCTTGTGCTGTTTCTGTACTTCTCATGAGGACAAGCATCTCTACTGCCCATTCTTGTCTCTGTGATACTAACAAGCACTATGGATGCATGGTTTAACAGCACATGGATGCCAGCCTCCATTTCTACACCCCATGTGGCTCACAGAAGTCCAGGCCTTTGGATAAGTCCAAAAGCAGGAAAAAGAAACATGTCTGTAACATCTGTCTACTTTCTGACACCTGGAAACAGATGATATCTTCAAGCATCCTCCAAGAGTTGTGTATGTCACCAGAGACTCATGGCTGTGGGATGGCAGCCATCTTTGTCTAATGTTACAGTGAAGAAGACCTGGTTTCTCCAAGACATCCAGTGGAAGTGGGGAGTGAGAGCGGTGAGTGGAGCACAATTACCCTTCCCATTTGTGGAGGAGTCACAATGACAATGTCCACTGCCCAAGGTAAGACTCTGTGGCCCTAAACTTCATTGTGTTTCAGATTTCTAGGCCTCACCCATTGGGTCTGAATCCAGAACCAGGTGAAACTACAGGATCTGTCTTTCTACAGAGGTTGTGGGATGTGCGTTTCTGGTAATCTGGGGCTGCTCTGAGGATGCCAGGCTGACAGTGAGCAAATTCAGCTCGGGGCACTGCAGCAACCATCTTTCTCCCTACACCCTGTCAGTGGTCATGCCTCACAGGACAGCAGATAACTCTTACCCTCATGTTGCCAGTGTATCAGGAGCCACAGGAGCAGCCAGGCCCTGTAAGCCTTGGGGAGAGTTTCGAGAATGTGTGTTCACAGCAAATGTGGGCAGTGCTGACCTCTTTGAAATTACCCATAGGTCCATTGGTTTTGTTGTTTTTTCTTGTTTTGGTGGTAGTGAATGGATGGATCTGGATTCTGCCATGTTTTCATGGTGAATGGGATATTTGAAGTAACCAATGACATGGCCTTTCTGGACACAGATGGGACAGATAGAATGATGGTGAATACAATTACTGTCTCACTTTCTGTCATTGCCTGAGCTAAGGAAAAATGAATGTTAGGGGACCACTGTTCCTTGCATCTGGAGAATATCCTTGCTGGCTTGGATATTTTCTTCTTCCTCTGAACAGGAGGCTGCTCTTGCTTCCTGTCTTTTCCACAAGCCTGTTAGGAAGGAAGGGTCAGCTGCTAAGTGAGCATGGCCACATATTAACAAGGTAGGGAGTTTTGAGTTAAAAAAAATTATATATATATATACATATATATATGTATATATATGAATATCTCAGAAATAATATAATAAATAATAATAAATAATAAATAATAAATAATATAATAATATAATTTTGTATATAAATGTGTTCATGTATGTGTACATATGCATTGGTATATGTCATGTTCATATGTGTGCATGTAGAAGCCAGGGTTGATGTCAGGTGTCTTCTTCAGTTTCTTTCTAGATGCTGTTGCTCATCATAATGATGAATTTTAATTTATTTAAAAACCATATTTATTTTTATTTTATGTTTACAGATATTTTGCCTACATGTATACATTACGTGTGTGTGTGTGTGTGCGTGTGTGTGTATACCATGTATGTGTCTGGTGCCTATGGAGGCCAGAATAAGGTATTACATCCCTTGGGACTGGAGTTATAGATGGTTTTGAGACACCACATGGGTGCTGGGAATTGAACCTAGACCCCCTGGAAGAGCTGCCAGTGTTCTTAACTGCTGAGCCATCTCTCTATTCCCAGATTATATTTTGAGACAAGGTCTCTCACTGAATGCAGAGCTCACTGATTCAGTTAGACTGCCTGTTCAGGGAGCTCCCGGAATCTGCCTATCTCTGCCTTCCTAGTGCTGAGATTTCAGGAATACACTTTGCCCATGGATTTTTTATGAGTGTGCTGGGGACTCATGTTTGCATGGCAAGCACTTTACCAACTGAACATCTCCCCAGCACCCAGACATTCAAACATCTACTGGGCATGTCTAATCTGACTATCAAAATGGTCAGCCCAGTGTCCTGATGATGCTGCTGCCTGAGAATTTCCATTCTATCTGTGGGTAGAAAAGCAGGGGGATCACTTCCTGTGATGATTTGAAATACAGAAGAAAATCATGCAAGGGACTATGGCAACAATAAAATTACAGCTTAGATGTAACCTTACAGGCTTTTCTATTGGGAAAGAAACAGCAGAATAGAAAAAAAAAAGCATTCTGTTGTATCATTAGGGTTTATTTTCATAATGGGCCCCAGGTATTAGGGAAAAGAAAAAGAGTCTGTGAGAAGGTGAGCTGCCTCCTGGTACAGAGAACTAAGACTGTGGAATGCAAACGCTTATGTGGCTTCCCTGTAGATTTTCACCCATAAGGATTGCACATTGCTGGATTTTCATAAATCTGTAGCTTACTGTGGCTAGTGACCTTGGGTACCAAGAATCCTATGTCCAGTATCTAACTGTGACTAGTAACCTTGGATACCAAGGATCCTATGTCCAGTATCTAACTGTGACTAGTGACCTTGGGTACCAAGGATCCTATGTCCAGTATCTAACTGTGACTAGTGACCTTGGGTACCAAGGGTCCTATGTCTAGTATGTAATTGTGCCCTGATACCAAGCTCCAGCATCAGTGATGCCTCTGGCTTGTGTCTACCTGTGGGTTGGGCCTGCTTGGCTGCCTTAGCTTGCTCATAAGGCATTCCAGAGTAGCACTGACTTCTGTCCTCTATGCCCTAAGTGGGCCACCTGGCTCAACACATCTGACCTTACCACCTTCATCCCACAGATCGTCTTTCTTTTCTACTGCACCTTGCTCTCTGGATCTTTCCTTCCTCTGAAGTTCCTACTTGAGTCTGTCGTCTCTATTCACTGTCAACCCCAACCTGAATCCTGTCTACTCCTAAACATCTTGCTAGATGACCCTACTTGATACGATGCTGACCTCCTCTGCACACTCATGATGGCCTGTGGGTGTCACTTTCATGGCACTGAATATCTCTTACTCTTATTTTCATAGTTATATAGGTGCTCATCAGAGATACAGCCTTCTCAAAGGGAAGGACCAAGCCTTTGTGTTTCTGGCTGCTGTGGACTAGGCCTTTGGGTGAAGTGGGGCAGACAGCTTGCTTGCTCATACATGTCCTTGCCAGCACATATCCAGTAAATACTATGGGCCAGATTCCACTCTTGATGCTGAGATTACAGCCGAGAACAATGTCTCTCATAAGATAAACTGCCTTGTGGTGAGAGATGATGATGGTGATAGGCAAGAAATAAATCCACCAAAGAACTCTGATTTGTGATAAGCCTGGAGATGCCATGTTAGTCCATCAAGGTCAGGAGATGGTTAGACCACCAAAGTCTGTCCTGGTGACAATAAAGTGATCAAGGCTTTGTGCCGACAAATGTCAAGGAGGCAACTGTCCATGGAGTTGAAGGAGAAACATTCAAGGCAGACAGAGAAGCCAGTAGTTCTATTTTGAATGTGAGATGTTCCTCATGGGCTCACATGCTCCACACTTGCTGGGGTGCTGTTTGAGAAAGCTGTGTAACCTTCAGGAAGTAGAGTGTGGCCGGAGCAAGTAGGTCACTGCGGCAGGGAACCTACCAGGTTTATAGTCAAGCCCCCACTTCCTGTCTCTTTTCAACTTCCTGAGTGTTGATGCAAGGTGGCCAGCTGCCTCCTGCTCCTCCTATTGCCGTGCCTTCTTGGCCATTGTGATGGCTAGTTACTACATCAACTTGACAGAAGCTGGGAAAGAGGAAACCTCAACTAGGGACATGCCTCTGTAAGATCTGGTAAGGCACTTTTCTTAATGATTGATGGGGAAAGGACCCAACTCATTGTATGTGTCCATCCTTGGGCTAGTAGTCCTAGGTTCTGTAAGAAAGTCAGCTGAGCAAGTCATAGTGAGCAAGCCGGTAAGCAGCATCCCCCCATGGCCTCTGCATCAGCTCCTCCAGGTTCTTGCTCTGCATGAGTTCCTCTCCTAACTCCCTCAGTGATGGGATGTTACCTGGAAGTATAAGATGAAATAAATCCTTTCCTCCCCAAGTTGCTTTAGTCATGGTGTTTCACTGCATAGGTAACC